CAAACTCACCCCTTTAAAGGAGTTTTCCATGAGTTTTTGGAGGGGGCTGATTGCCCGCCTCCTGCTCTATGACTACGGCCCCTGGGATGCCTTTTAAGAACATATTTGGGCATATGGGATTTTTATTATGTGGCTACTGGCCCTTTAAGCACAGTGTATGGACTTCTATTAGACTGTGTATAGATTGTGTATAGGAAGGTGTACCCCTCCCCCGTTTCCTGTCCCATTGTTCTCCAGCAAGGCGTTGTCCCAGGCACACTGCCAGACTAGTTGGAACTGGTTTGGGCTGGAAAGCCATGCTTCAGTGGTCTTAAAGGGACCTCCACCTAACTTTTTAACCCCTGAACTGATTGACCTAATTTTTGAGTATGTTTGTATTGCAAGTATGCTGATTCTGAAAAGATTGGATGTATATTTTTAAAGTTACAGCATGTGTGTAAAAACTATATTTTCTGCCTCTGATAATTAAGTTAGTCTATTGTGTTGAGATAATTGTATCACAGGCAGAGGGGAGGAGATGTGTGGGAGGTAACATGTATCTGATTGGTGACTGTACTAAGGATCCTGTTATCTCCTGAAATGCAGCTTCTCCTGAAATCCCAGCAGAATAATAAAAAGTAGTGATTATAGCTCACAATTCCCCAAACATGAGTCGAGACTTCATGAAGGGGTAAAACGATTTGCTTTAATGCTGGCCCCACTCAGCTTTTTATGATGGTCTCCCAGCAAGGAAACTCCCACAGGGGACCTTGTGGAAAACTGTAACACAAAATACAGAACCAATCAGGTTACAGTGCAATTATTTAACACACCCACGGTAACAGTGCAACCTCTCCTCTCTATCCTGGAGATAATTAACTTAAGTGGTTGGAGAGAACCTAATTATCTCCAGGTAGAGAGAAACATGTCCTTTTTACATTTTGACAAAACTGTATTAAAATCCATAACTTTTATATTTCGCCGAACGTAGTCTCCAGGTTCCACATACCCCCAGATAGCTTGGATCTGAGCACACAATATAGACGAATAGCACTCAGATCCCACGAACACAGTTCTCAATATTGTCGAGTAAAGTTTTTAGTTTGTGCAATTGAATCCGAAAAGAGTTCCATAACGCCAGCTACCTGGGGTCGGTCTAGTTCATATGGTAGGAAAGTCCCGAGCGGTAGAGTGTTTGTGAGTTATTAGACGAATGGACTGGAACTTGGTACGCTTTAGCGGTGTGCGGCTAAATAAGTGTCCGAAAACAGTTCCAGCGTGTCAACGACTATCTACCGCTGAGCGTTCAATGATTTAAAATGGCGACCGCCACGTGTTCCGCAAATGAACGTGGACCACCAAGCCTTTCAACAATTGCTTGCAGTTAACCACAAGGTCTGGGTGGTTAATGGGCTGCACACGACCCTGGTGGGGTGGGGTCGGGTGGTTCGGGAGTTTGTTTGGCTCTTTTACAAACAACTAGAAATAGCCAAACATACGAATATCATACGAAATGCTGTTTCCCTGAGTCTGTCCAAACAGGGGGTTCGTTACACAGCTCCCCCTTAGTCCCATGGAACGGCATACCCACTTAGATCCTAACAGGTCGGCTAGGGGATGTCGGATGACAGTGCTTTTTCTCCAGTTCAGTCTGTTGGGATAACCCATCAGCGTTAGCGTTCTGCTTCCTGGGGCCATGCTGCATTGTGAAATTATAGGGTTGTAATGCCAAGCTCCATCTGAGTAGTCTGGGGTTATCTCCGGCCAAAGCAGAGGGTTGTGGTCTGTCATTACTGTGAAGGAGCGTCCATAGAGGTAAGGTTGCAATTTCTTAAGTGCCCAAACTAATGCCACACACTCTTTTTCAACGGGGGCATGGCTGACTTGGCATGGTAATAGTTTTCTGCTCAGATATGCCACCAGGTGGTCCATACCATCGTCCCCAACCTGGCTTAATACGGCTCCCAGTCAAACATTGAGGCATCTGTGTGAACAAGAAATCTTTTAGTATGATCAGGTGCCGCCAACAGAGGAGATGCACTTAACGCAGCTTTGAGTTGCTTGAAAGCCTCCTTGTACTCAGAGGACCAGACTACTTGTCGG